GTGATCTTGTTTGATTTGTCTTAACATATAGATTATTAATATATAATTTCTATAATTTTTTAATATACAAACTACAAGATAGCATGGATTAAATAAGTGCATTGGATGGTGTGCAAAAATGAAAGTGGACAAAAACTGGGGGACGGATGGGGTAGATAGTACTCCGTATTTTTTATTTAATATTCTAAAGTTAATAGGGTTTAGAGTTATAGTATGAGCCCGAACCCAATAGGTCAATTATGCTTTTCTCTCCTCTGATCTTTATATATTGTAACCCCGTATCATCATTATTCAGACAATAAGAATATCATAAACCATAATCTCTCTTTTCTTTCTTTTCTTCGGAGCCCAAAACTGTTCGAAGTTTTCTATCTTTCTCTCCTCTCTTCTTCTTGGATCGGTAGTACTTTTTTTTTCTGTAATTTTTCTTGAGAGTGCCTCTCATTGAAAGCAACAATTGATACAATTCTTCTTGGTATAAGATCGACATCTGGATTCGAAAATGTCACCTTGTTGCTATAAGCCCTTGACGGTCTAACACATCGACAAAGATCTCTCTCTACTTTTAGCCGATACTTTTCACAAAACAATTTTCGTTGGCTCTGTTTTTGTACTTAGGCTCCAAGCTACTCCTCGTTACTGTTGATTAACTTTCACGGGAATATATAATAGGAGATATTATTATTAGATTTTAAATTATGTTTATTACCATATGGTGTATTCCTACTTTAGTTTGGGATCCCTTGTATAAATTCTAGTGAAATATTCATTATTATTCAAGAAGATTAATTATTATCAAATTATATCATCCTTCACATCGTGTCAAAGTGTTTTTTAGCTTATTTCTCCAAAACTACGAAGTGTTTGGGAGTGATTAACTTATGGATAAAGTGATTTCCACAAAAGCTGAAAGCAGAAGCACCTCATACATGCTTCTCCGAAACGGTGTTCTATGTACAAAATAGTAGTGGTGAAAAACAGAAGCTGACATGCCAAACAGAGTAAAATCACTTCTACTCAAAATAGAAGCTAAATTATTAAAAGCAGCACACTGCCAAACACTCTTGAAGTACTCTTTCATTCCCTTATTGACTATTTGTCTTTCTTATTTTTGTTATCTCACTATTTTTTCTAATATAATACGGAGTACTCCCTAATACTTCCTCCATCTAAAAAGAATTGCTCTTCATTATTCAAAAGTCACGAAAAGTTTTGTTTATTTGTGCGTTTTGATTGATTATTTGATAAAATAAAATATTCTTGTCACATATGTAAATTTTATTTTTTTTATTTCTATACCAATCTTTGGATAAAATAAATTTAAAAACTTGAAATATCACTTCATTTTAAGTAAAACAGATTTTTCTATAGTCACAAGTTCCACTATCATTTTATGAATCTTAGTGCATTGATAATGTAAAAGAATTGAACCTTTTGAAAAAGATCACTTATCAACCAATGAATAGTACGATAATATTCATATTTCACATGTGAATTTTAAGATCTCGAAACAACAAAAGTGTATAACGTTTTGGATAGGAAGAGTAGTTTTGTACTGGTCATGCTATTTCATTTTGAAAATACCCTATCACTATGTCGTCTGTCACTCTAGAGGAGTAAAATATTACTCCCGTCGAAAAACTGACCCTAATTGCTATTTAAAAATCACAAAATTTTTGTTCATGTGTACACATCCATTATTTGATAAAATAAGATATATTTGTCACTTCTTGTTCAAAAAAACTTTTTTGGAAACCAAATGGGTAGTTAATTAATTATATTAAGTTGGAGATGTTGCCGGGGTGAACCAACCTACTCCCCCATGCTCTGAGGAGAATGAGATGCTCGCGCTAACACATGTGCCACCTCATTAGCAGAGTGATAAACTTTTGACATAGTTCTTAAATATATAAATTTTAATTTTTATTTCTATACAAATTTTTGAATAAAATATATAAAATAACCTAAAAATTTGGTTACATTTACGTAATATGGTAAATATTTTGGAACGAATGGAGCACTTCATATGCACCATGTGGAACTCCCGTCTTTTCTGTTTGTTTATTTTGGAGATAATCTTGGTGTGCGCCACCGAACATATTGAATATATTCTGTATATATTTATTATTTATACATAGCAACTTTTTGTATATGATTTCCTTTGTTATTATTCCTACCATACTTAGCACTCTCCTTGTATATACTCGAGTGAGGCTCCCCCTTGTAATCATTAAATATTATAATTCTTCATCAACCATATCTTCTATATAATACTCCCTCTGTCCTAAAACTTTCTTCCCGGTTCGCAAAACGAAGAAAAATCCCAAATTTTTTCAATCTATTTTATTTAAATATTGGTATAGAAATAAAAAATAAAACATACATATTTAAAAACTACATCAAAAGTTCAACAAAACAAGTGGTGACAAGAATATTTTATTTTATCATATAGGCCATGAAAAAATACAAATAAATATAAATTCTCGTGAAGTTGGAATAGTGCTCTGGGAAGAAAGTTTTAGGATGGAGGGAGTACAATTTTATATAGAAGGATGTGTTAAAATTCCGGCGGACCGAGAATAACAGGTAGAGTATCGGATAAAATTAACCACTTGCATATAAAATCAGGATCCACTATTCTAACCTAAAAGCTTAAGTTGATAGATAGGGTTTTACCTTTCTATATATACTAGTGGCACTCCTTTTTATTTTCTGATGTGGGAACTTTAACACTCTCCTTCAAGTGGTATCTAGCCTGGTCTTATTATCACTTCGAAAAATGGGTCTAGCATTTCAATTTTTTTAGCTAGTCCACACAATGGGCGGTGACTTCTCATTCTCTTAAAACCAACTCAACCCAAACCACGGACGGGTAGCTCATTTTTCTAAACCCACATCCAAACAACCAGGAAAAATCAAACCCAGACGGGACCCGCTCCGATACCATGTTAAAATTCTGGCAGACCGAAAATAACGGGTAGAGTGTTGGGTAAATTAACCGCTTGTATATAAAGTCGTGATATACTATTCTAACCCAAAAACATAAGCTAATATGTGGGGTTTTACTTTTCTATATATACTAGTGGTATTCTTCTTTATTTTCTGGGGTTAATAGCATGAGCACCCCTTGTGGTTTACAAAAAGGACGTCAAAATCCCCCCTGTTTTCAAAAGTTATTTGTAAAGTCCCTGTGGTTTCTAAATAGAGCACACATGCCCCCCTTACCTATTTTTAAAGCAAAAATGACATTTATGCCCTTTGTTTTTCCCGATCTTGAATTTTTCCGATTTTAATTTCCTTTATTATACAAATATATAAAATAAAATATATGCTTCCCATCTCAAATTAGAATTTTTCATAATGTACTTTTGAAAACAAAATATTTTTTGGAGAATGTTACAAAAAAATGAAAAATAAAATATTATGTACAAAGTAAAAAGTAATAACAGTTAAAAAAAGTAATGAAAAGAAATAAAAATATAAAAAATNTTTACTTTGTACATAATATTTTATTTTTCATTTTTTTGTAACATTCTCCAAAAAATATTTTGTTTTCAAAAGTACATTATGAAAAATTCTAATTTGAGATGGGAAGCATATATTTTATTTTATATATTTGTATAATAAAGAAAATTAAAATTGGAAAAATTCAAGATCGGGGAAAACAAAGGGCATAAATGTCATTTTTGCTTTAAAAATAGGTAAGGGGGGCATGTGTGCTCTATTTAGAAACCACAGGGACTTTACAAATAACTTTTGAAAACAGGGGAGGTTTTGACGCCTTTTTTGTAAACCACAGAGGGTGCCCATGCTATTAACCCTTATTTTCTGATATGAGAACTTCAAAATGATGGATAGCTCAACTGGTCAAAGGAGAGGATGTCAAGCCCATTGATCTTGGAGTCGAATCCCGATAACAATAGGGTGAGAATTCTATTATTTGTAATAGCTCCTTGTGCGCTTTGTGCCAATTTAAGTCCGTCATTTAATAATCCTCATAGCTTTAATTAAATAAGCTAGTCCATCTTCACTCACTCCATCCTTCCTAAAGGTAGTTCCTAATTTGACTTAGGATTTTGAAAACTTCATTTTTGTAAAAAATTAGAATTTAACCCAAAGGAATACCTCAAGTAACAAAATACTACACTTTTTATGGTGAGGGGAATCTAAGTTTAATTTTAATAGGTGAAAATTTTGTCTGTATCAGCTCTCATACCTATCAAAGCAATGGAGAATTAGTTAGTCATATCCAGATCATAAGACATACCAAAAAAACTCCTGCACCTAGGGGCATACACAAAAAATTGCTAAGTTAAGAATTATCATTAGACAATTTTTTCAAAACACTAAAATTAAATGTTAAGTATGTAAAATCTCAATAAATTGGAAGTCTTAATTATTTTTAAAGACCATTTTTAAAACAAAATCTTGTAAGAATGACATAAGATTTTTTGAACAACGACCAAAAACAAAAATCTCCTATTTTAAAACTAAATATATATTTAATTTAACATCTGTATCAAGTGATACATAATGTCATTTTTCTTAATTTGTCACTCTTTTATATTCACATTTTATGAGACGAATAAGGTGATTTTTATATTGAGAAAATATTTAATTTTTATATCTGTGATGAAAAATAGTTTTATAATTCATAAATTTTATGTCTTTTGGCAATATACTTTAAGAGTAATTAGCAATGGCATAACTTTAATACAGAGTAGATTATACTTTGTAACCTCCAAAGATATCTAATTCAATAATGCTACTAAAAGACTAAAGTTGATACCACCAAACTATTTTTTCATAGACATTTTTTGTTGGTAAGGTGAGCAATTATTATATGTGAGAGAATACTGATATCAACTTTGATGCCATTTTTGGTGCTTAGTCCTATCTAATTACCCTTGTAATTAGATAGGTTTAGAACTGTATGCTATGGAGTAAATGTAACTACATTATCATGGAAAGTATCAATTCAAAGAGTACAATCTTACATGCCATTGGTGCTTCCCTAATTTTGAAGGCCAAATAGATTATTTAAAAGACATCTAGGGTTACCTTCTTAACTAATACTGTATTTGAAACATAATGGGGATGAGAATTTAAGGTTTAACAAGGAGGATCCTAGTTTCAGAATGTGACATCACTAAACTACCTTACGTGCAATCCATCATCAAATAAAGCCTGATGTTGCACCCGTCCACTGTATTTCTTCTGCCTCGTAAAACAAACACAGATGTTGAACTGTACAACTATGTGGTGCCTGAAAATTTTCAAGTCCTAGTAAACTTATGGGCGATGGGACGAGATCCTAACATGTGGGAAAACACTGAAATATTTTGTACTGAGAGGTTTTTGGACAAGGGAATTGATGTCAAAGGTAGGGATTTCGAGCTCTTACCCTTTGGATCTCGAATCCCTACCTATCTTTGACATCGATTTCCTTGTCAAAAAACTTATCAAGAGAAAATATTTCGGGGTTTTCACACACCTTAAGATCTCGCCCCACGGCCCATTAAGTTTACTAGGACTTGGGAAGTTTTGGACAACACATAGTTGTACAGTTCAACATTTGTGTTTGCCTTACGAGGCAGGGCGCAACCTCAAGCTTTCTTTGATGATGGATTGCAGGCAAGGTAGTTTAGTGATGTTAGATTCTTGAATCATAGGTTAACCATGATAGAAGAACTGCATAAAATTAAAGAACTAACTGTACACAACAAATACTTCTTACATTTTGAAGAGTATAAAATGGCATGATTTGGAGGCTAGTCAGAGTTTGTTGAGACCTTGTCTTCTTCAATGTTGAGGAGAGCCATGATTTGAGACCTTGAAACGCTTTGCCTGTTTTTAAGGACATCTATATAACTCCGGAGCCTATACCGGTCCGTGTTAGTGAGGTTGAATGGTGGGCTAAGAATGAGAGACGATGCTTCAACTTGAAGGAATGTTAACAACTGCACTGCCTTTGAATAAAACAACACTGCATTTTCTGTTCGGCCCATGTACTCGTCAACCTGCCCAATTCCAACAAGTAGAAAACAACTCAAGCAACTGTTTGGGGATTTGGAAGAGAACTATTTAGGTCGCATGAAACAAACACAAGCGAATGTAAACACTTCACTTACTGCCCCTTTCCTTCCCATTTCTAGCGCAGATTGGAATATTATGTCCATTGCATCTGGCACATCTGTATTACCTGAACTTCCATTTTTAAGCAACAGGTGCAAATAAATAAAGAGTAAAATGCGACTAGATTTAAGAAGAAAATTACTTGCACCTTACCAAAAAAAGGAAGTGGTTTCAGACACATATTTATTTGTCCAGAAAAGAAAAAACCCATTTTGATCAAACAAAGTCAAACAAAGCAATTCCAGAAGCTCAACAAAGCAAATACTTCATATATCTTATCAACATAATAAAGTCGTGTGTCGGTCACAACTCACACATGACCTACTTTGGGACCAAGGGAGCGACAAAGAAAAAAACATGTAGCTGCAAATGGAGTGTAGAAACAACAAAGATATACCGGGCTCAACAAATTTGGAAAGCTCATCTGCATTCTGAACTTCACTTAGAAATGATTTTTCTATATGAAAACAGATATCCTGTGGAACCAAAATGTTAGAAAAAGCATCAACCGGATTCTGCGCATTGACAAGTCCTTGACCCAATTTAGCAACATGTTGGGTTGGGCTTCCTTCAATTGCTGACGCTGCTTGAGCATGACATATGTGCAAGGCTTGCTTCCATATTGCAAGAATGACAAGCTGAATTGAAAACGCTTCCAGATATCTGCCTGCCTCAGACTTTTTAAATGAAGCATAAGATATCAAATATTATATGACCACTTTCAGCTAACATATAGAAAGATCAAATTATTTTTGTTGAAGTTTCAAATAGCTTGATATTTTTTTCTAAAGTGCTTAAAGGTTAGAGCATTTTCAAAGTAAAAATCAATATAAAAAGGTGTTACTGCTGATTATACAACACTAATTGGATGCATTATAACAAAAACAAGTACTCCACAACTGTTAATAACCAGACTATGCCCATAAGACAAAATACATAATCCGGAGTATGTTACTTCCTGAACATAGTGATGATTGGTGACTTACCTTCTCGTTTACTAATTCAGTGATAGCACTAGCGCAATGCTGCAATGATTCAATCCTCCTTAGGCAATCACTTGATGGTTGCTCCAATGTGTCTGCTATATCCACTGATCCTTGTGATGTACCATGGGCAGATGTGTGGCTATCCACACTTCCTACACAACCTACTTTATTGACTGCAGGACCGATAATGGGAACCGGGGCACTTGGTCTAGAGTGCACATTCCCTGCAGCTTGTCCTGACACCATTGGCATGCTAATATTTGTATGCATAGAGGCACCGGCAGATGATAATGAATCCAATGGGGGCCCAGAAACAAAGACGTAACCTTGATCAATCAACTCCAGCGAATTTGTCACTGCTTGTAAATCCATGTGAATATGGCAATTATCAGAAAAGTTGAAAATAGGTCTCTACCACTGTTAATTAAAACAAAATTAGAACCTCTAAAACTTAATACAGCTTATGTGGCTAAATTTAATTTGCAGAAAGTTCTAAAGTTGTGGCTGAAAGGGCTAAATCTATAGAATTATCCAAAGAAAATGCATATACAAAGAAAATGATATCTAAAACTAAATCTAAAAGCATCAATTTCATCAAAAAAGTAACTCATGCACTACATTTTTCATTATCATCTGATTCATTTAGTGCAGAGACAATAGTTAGTGTTCGGTAGAAAAACTGGCTGATGAGGAAAAACTATAGTCCAGCAAACAAGCTCTTAATATGAAAAGTGATATTTGAATATTTGCAGCTATTTAGATCTAAATCAAAGAAAATTAAAAAATTATTGATTTATATTATTGCAAGAGTGAGCACCTTCCTTATTAGTGACTGTTTGTCTATGTTCAATGGAGTTATGAGATTCTTTCAAGTTTCCTTCGGGAAGGTAATGGCTGCCAGCACTAAGTGCAGTGGAGTCTCGTATGCATGGGCCATCAATGGCGTTGAAGGTTGGATCCGGTAAACATGGAACATTAAAAGCATCCCCTCTATAACCTTTAGAACCATTAGGATAATTAAATGGAGATTTTTGTTGTAATCTCCCTGAATAAGATTGATTGACATCAGTACCACACGAATCATCATCAAGCTTGAAGGGCAGACAATCTTCTTGACTTTCATCCGCATTTGCACGGCTAGATCCTGACAGGGGAAACCCATCTATCTTCCTCTGTGGTTTCCAAATCCTGTGTACCATAATGAATTTCATAGTTTGTTGAAGGAATAGAATCTTAATTCTCAAGATACAAAGAACTGGAAAAACTAATCACCTCATTTACCTAGATAGTTCATCTGGTTGCTTTTTTGCAAGAAATTGGTGGTTAAAGAACTCTTCAAATGTCAACCGCTCCACTACAACAGGAAAATAATTACAACAGGCTGGAAGTATAGTACTCTGTCCCCCAAAAAAGATCCATGTTTCGAGAACTTGTCCCAAAAAAGAGTTTGGTTTTAAAGCTAGCTTTCCATATTAAGAACGAATTGTGTAAAGCTAATCTACAAGCAGGTTAGTCAATTACTTAGTTTTAGGGATATACGTGACCAATCATTACTTGTAAAAGCTTGTACTTTGATAGAGTTGACTAAAAATAGAGGCTTTTTTTTGCCAGAGCAAGTATTTTTTTTCTTAAAAAATTATCACCATAGAGCTATTCAACTTGATTTATTATTATTATTATTATTATTATTATTATTATTATTATTAACATTATTATTATTATTACTATTATTTATTATTATTATCACTATTAGTACTTCCTCCATCTCTATTTAAACTTCAGTCACTGTCGAGAGGGTCAAACTATATCATCATTGTTAACTCACTTGAATAATTTGTTTCAATAAAATAGTCTTGTCAATTGCATTTAAAATAATTTTGGTCAAACATCTCGCAAATCAAAATGCAAAGTTTATTAAGGGACGAAGGGATTTTTGTTTGTTGGTATGGAAGTGTGGATCAGCAAGAGATTGCATCTCATACAGGAAACTAAATGAAATAAGTGAATGACTTGCTGCCAATAGTCTGCTGGAATCACAAAATGCTGGTTGGCCCACCTGGATTACGGCGCAATAACTTTTTACATAAATCTATGCACTCATCACTCAAATTCTTTGCATTTGAAGGGAATTGCAATTCACTTGATTTTACTATGTTCTGAAGCAACTGCAAGAAAACATTTAGAACAAGATAGTCGGGCATTAAAAATGTACCCCATATATTCACATTAAAAAGCAAGGGAGTTTATTGCATTTTAATGAGACAGACACATAGTTGATTAGTCATACCTGTATTTGATTGTTTCCTACGAATGGGGTTCTACCAGTTACAAGCTGAAATAGAATGGCACCAACACTCCAGAGATCTGCCTGTGTTTGTGGCTCAAAGTTAATAGGAGATCAAGAAGAACATGAATCTAAAGTTTGCAATGGGTGAATTTCACCTTTGCATCATACTTCTGAAGTTGCATAATTTCAGGAGCCATGTATAGTGGTGAACCACATAAGGTCTCTGCGAGGCCCCTAGGTTGCAAAGACCTGGTAAAAAGAAGATACAATCTTTTAAGCAACTTTATAAATGGAATATGAGATATCATGGAGACTGAAAGTTAACAGTCTAGAAAGTTTCTAGATTAATCAGATAAATGAAACTTCAAAGAAACTCATTTTTAGTATTTGAGAGAGGTCAAGAGGGATTCTGACAGAAATTCCAGGGGAAAGAAAGACACAAATTTCTTATTAAGAAAAGCCTGTTTAGGGATAGGCTACAATCATGAGAATTTGAGCAATACAAAAGCTCTGTATTTCCTTAATCCAATAAAAAGCTTTTATCACGTTCTTTAAAGGGAAAATACAAACCCATGCAGTAAAAGAATAGAGCAAGCTGGGAATGAAAGCATTTTTCTAGTTAGCTTATCCAATGTCCTCTACTTTTAGGGAAAAAATATGCGAGAGTACAAGACTATTCATTTCTTAAGTTCACGAGCACAATTAGACAAATCAGGTGAGATAAAGAGTTAACCTTGCAAATCCAAAATCAGCAATTTTCAAAACAGCATTGTCGTTGTTTACTGACAAGAGCAGATTCTGTTCCAGAAATGATGACATGTGTTACTTAGAATTTGCCACTTGCAACAAGAACACCAATCACTTCTGCTTGCCTAATGAAATAATCCTTCTTTACGGGAAAACTTCCCATTTCATATACCTTTGACAACTAACGACAATTGAGTTGTGTGCAAACATACAAATTAGTGTCCATTTATTACCAAATTTTCAAAGATATTACTCATTCTCCTTAGTCATTAAAGGAAAATGGTATCTTCACTAAAACCAAATAATAATCACATGAACTACCAACTTATTCTTCAAACGGATATATTCGTTTTAAGTACCAAAATCATTAATCCATGTTAGACGTAAAAGCAAACCTGTGGTTTAAGGTCCCGGTGTATTAAGTTGTTTTCACGAAGAACTTTAAGGCCCGATGCTGTGTCATGGATTTGAAAATCAAATTATCATGTCCAAAATCAAGAAATTATCCAAAGAAAAATAAACAAAAAAAATCTCCATATTACCTAGCTGCTGCATAAAATGTTTTGCAGTTGCTTCTGGAATTCTCCCATTGCGTTGTTGGATGTACATAGAAAGATCACCCCCTCGACAGTACTCCAGCACTATATAAACCTTTCCTGAATCCTATATCCCAGGACATGTCAAATTAATCAAAACAAAAGTAACTCATAGTAATAAATGTTGTTTGTACCCTTCAACAAAAACTCAAGGAGTGCACAATCATTTATCTTAAACAGACATATGAGATCCGATGGATGATTTGGTAACAGAGTTTATCAATTATCAGTGAAAAAAGCACAACTAAAAAATCTTGATTTAAAACCACAAATATGTCATTTCTTCCCCATAAAGTCTTTTCTTTTGGACTTACTTTCAGTTCAGAAACTTCAGTTTAATACTCTTAGTTACCAATTATAACTAACTTTTAAATCGCTTCAATTCAATTTGGTAAGTTTCAGTTGGAAAGAACAGTGTTAAGTACTCTGTGGTACAAAGCAATTAACTTTGAGCCCAAGTAGAGCAGGAACATCTAAGGGAAGGAAATTCACTTCAACTCCAGATACGCTCAAATTCCAACTGCAGATAAGTCATTTTCTCGATGCCAAGAGCTATTTCCGCTTGATCAATGTACCGAGCAACCAAAATTGCATATACCCTTATTCACAGGTTTTAAGACAAACAAATGATTTTGTTCCGAAAACCCATAAAAATGCCATCTTTGGCGGAGTGAGGAAGGGAATCGAATGGGGGAAAAGATCATCAGACGGACCTGTATCATGTCGTGCAAGTGGATGATGTTGGGGTGATTGATCTTCTGGAGAATAACAATCTCGGACATGAGACTCTCTTTGAGTTTGGAGTTGAGCCGAGCTGTGACGATCTCCTTGATGGCCACCTCGGTGCCGTGGACTCGGTGTCGCGCAAGCCACACCGTCGAGTACGACCCGGTCCCTATCTGCTTCCCCACCAAATACTCACCCACCGCGAACCTCCCAGTTCCGCCTCCTCTGCCGCTCGATTGAGCCATCTTTACAAAGGCCAAACCCTAAGAACTCCGGGCACGGCCTGATCCGAGATTGAGCCTCACAGCAGAGATGGAGGAGCACGAAACCAAGTTTGTGTCTTGTTAAAAAACCAAAATTATTGAAAATCCCACTCGCTGTTTTTCTTTCTTTTCTTCTTTGTTTCTTTTCCAGGAGTGAGTGATTCAGGTTTCAGATTGGGTTTGGCAGGCAAGATCGATCGGAAATATAGAGGGCAACAACTGATATCTGGATTTACTGAAAATTTGATTAATCCGTTTGTTTGGATTTACTGAAAAAATTTGATTAATCAGTTTTTTTACTCCATAAATTGCAATTTATGTGGCTAATCTTGCCTAAGAGCATTAGCAATGGAAAGACAAAAATAAAATGTGACACGGTGACATGGATTATTTCAACCAATAAAAAATAATTCAGTCACTGTGTGGCAAATGAATAGAGTGTCGTAACATACAGTGACAAGTCATCATTTTTGTCTATTTTTGTATTTTTTAATAATTTTTATTTATCAAAAATTATTTTACACATTCATTAAATGTGTCTACTTCTTTTAAAAAATATTTTTTTCAAAAATTACAAATATTAAAAAAAAATAAAAAAATGAGAGAATCATGCATTGTACATGGATTGAAAAGGAGTTAAGTGCACCATTTACCCCCAAACTCTTTAAAAATTGCATGTTTTGCCCCTGAACTTTAAAAAATGCACCAATTACCCCTGAACTCTTTGAAAATTGCACTATTTACCCCTGCAGACTAAAAATACATCAAATACCTTTGAACAAATTAAAACGTTGCATCATTGGTCCTAAACTATTAGATAGGGAGGGCGTTGCTTCCACGCACAAGAATTGTGAATATGATACATCTGACTCTTGTGAATTTCCAAAGTACCTTTACCCAAAATTGTCGTCTTTATTTAAATGTTCAGGAGTAAATAGTACAATTTTCGAAGAGTTCAGGGGTATTTGGTGCAATTTTTATTATTCAGGGGTAAACCGTGCAATTTCTAAAGAATTCAGGGGTATTTGGTGCACTTTTTAATGTTCGGGGGTAAACCATGCAATTTTCAAATAATTCGGGGGTAAACTGTGCACTTAACTCGATTGAAAAGTGTGGTGCAATAGTCATGGAATGCCATGATTTGAATTACATTTGCTGACATGGCTAGGCAAGACAAGACATTGTCTTGCCATTGTGAATGCTCTAATATATTCTCAAAGGATAAAGTCATGTAGTCTTAGTATAGATAATACTTTGTAATTATTTATGCAAAACAGATCATTATCATCGGTATAGTTATGTAAAACATAAGTCATGTGAGATTACTCTTTTGAAGGTTGCTATGAGAGTACTTTTTGTTGGGGAGTAAAATCTTGAAGATGAAGATGAATAAAGAAAAAAAAAGAGACTTCGATTGTGAGGAGTTGAGGATGGAGAATAAAAGTTTGAAGACAGTTATGCAATTCAGGTAGAGGGATTCAAAATGCAGCTAGATTTGCTTTTCCAAAAAAGATAATGATGAAAACTGCGTATTAAAGAGACGAATGAGAATTTAAAAGTTGAAATGATTTGTACTCAATATTTATTGTTAGCCGACTCATATATCCTTTATCCTTTATAAATAAATTTAAGAGTTGAATACGTAAGAGCTTGACATGTGGCATAATATGGGGTATACATGTGACATAATATGGGGTAAACATGTGGCATAATATGGTAAATAAGGCATATTATGTGGCATTTGATTTATGAGTTAGACTCCATTTAATAATAATTAACATGGGATTAAACTTTTATTTCTAATCAAAAAAATAAAATTACCAAATATATAAAAAATTCAATAAATCTTATATATAAAATTATTAAGAATTAAATTATTCAAAAAATCCTTTTCTATAAACGGATGAAAATTTTATTTTTAGAAAGTTGACATGTGCATTACATATGCAAATTTTACACCTAATATGTCACCAAATTTATGACATAAAATATGAAAAAATATTTTGGTATGAAACCTTTCATAATTTAGTATTTTTATTGCTTCATTTAAAACAAACTTTCAATTAATTAATACGCTACTCTTTTCACCTCTAAATAACTTTCATATGAATATTTGTTTATGATAAGTTAAAAAGAAGTTAGTTTATTTTGAATATTTTTTTCAATATTGATATAAAATAAAAAAACAAACAACATATTATAAAAATTACATCAAACATTTAAAAAAGGAGTAGATTCAGTTATAATAGTGTTCAAGTAGAAAATATATTACTATACACAATTTGGTAATTAATTAATTAATTTTATGATTTTAGTTAATTACTAGGAAATTTATGGTTTATAGGTTTTAGATGCTGCATAATTTAAATATAAAATATATTATTTTTAATTATCTTTTAGGATATGATTAATTAAATTATATAATGTAATTGATCAAAATTAATTTCATTTCTATTTTTGATATGCTTAGATGAATTATTTTGTTTATTTAAATATAAAAAATAAAAAAATGCTCTAATATATTTTAATCTTTAAACTAATACAGAGTATTTTATCAAACAAGAGGCGTTTGTATTATTTTTTAAATGAGCAACTGTTTCAATCAAGTAAATTAAAAAAAGAATGCTTTCATGGGCTTGAATCATTTCTTATTTAAATATAAAGGAAAAATAATTGAATAAGAATTGGCCAAGTGTATTTATAAATTTCCATTCTGAATCATAAGATTGCTAATGTTTTTGATATTATCTTTTGTTTGAATTAATGCATTGGAGAAGAATCATTGAGCTTTTGATGTTCTTTAATTTATCTCTTTTGAATTTTTACATTTATTGAGAAACAAAAAATATTTTTTCATCTATCGAGACCAATATTTACAAAATTTGACGAATAAATTAAATTAGAAGATTAAATCTGGATGAAAGGAGTATCTTGAAATAATTTTTAAAATTAATGAAATTTTGCAATTGAGTAAAACAAAAATTCATATTTAATTTCTGACTAACAAAAACTTATAAAATTAATTTTTATATAATATAATTATATATAGGGTGAGATATAATTATTATTTATTATAGAATTTAAATTATATATGGTAAGACTATGCATGTTCAGTTGTCCTTTATTCTAAATAAATGGAAGAGGTCGTTAAATATAAACTACGAACCTAAAACTATCATATTCTAAATGACAATAATATGTTCAGAAAATATATTTTCTAATATAAAGTAACTAAAAATATGTGTGCAATTAATCCATAAATAATTAACTTGAACTAATAATATAAATCAATTTTAAAATAAACAAACCAATGTAAATATTATTTACAAATTTTGAAACCAAAATAACATTACCCTTTAATTAAATTAGAATACTGAAAAAATGAAAACAAAAAAAAAACAAATATAACCATAAAATTTTGGTTAGAGAGTTAAAATTAGAGATCTCTTTTGGTGAATATCCGAACATATTGGAGAATATGATTTTTTTTCAAGCTAAATCTTATAATTTTAATAAAATATTAAGCATAATAATTTGCACCACTACAGTTCTAGCAATTTAACCCGTGCCGCACACGCGGTCGAACAAAAGTTTTATTGATTTTTTGAATTATCTTCAATGTAATATTTTTTATATGAGTATGGAAATATATGTAATATGTTATTTAACTCTGTAGACATTAAAATCAAAGTAAAATAAAGGCATTTGATAATTGGTTATAAAAATGCTTATATATAAATTCAAAAGTAAATAATTCATATTTTGTTTGAAAGCCTGTAAAATTTTGGAAAAACTGAGCTGGCTTTCATTCAATATTCACAACGTATATATACATGTGCCAAGTCCTACTCCAAGTATGGAAAGGACTACTAACCAGGAAACTAATTACAAAGGAAACTAATTACATATATGGTAGTAAATAAATATATATGCTAACACTCCCCCTCAAGTTGGAGCATGGAGATCATGAATGCCCAACTTGGACAATAAGAACTCGAAGAGAGGCCTGTTCAAAGCCTTAGTGAACAAATCAGCAATTTGTAGACGAGTAGGGACATATGCGGTGGCGATCTCACCGCGCTGAACGCATTCACGGACAATGTGGCAATCAATATCAATATGTTTCATGTGTTCATGAAAAACAGGATTGGCAGCAATAAACAGAGCGGACTTGTTATCACAAAATAAACGTGGCGTCGTCGGTGGAGTAATGCCGAGTGCCCCAAGAAGACCGCGGATCCATCGTACCTCGGCACATGCGTTAGCCATGGCACGATATTCAGCTTCTGCTGATGAACGGGACACGGTGGTTTGTTTCTTTGTTTTCCAAAAAACTGGCGAGCCACCTAGAAGGATAAATTAGCCGCTCACAGAGCGACGAGTAAGAGGACAAGATGCCCAGTCGGAGTCACTATAAGCAGATAGCTGTAGTGAGCTGTCACTACGTAAGAGAATACCCTGTCCTGGATGACCCTTCAAGTAGCGAAGAACCCGTTTTGCAGCTTCCATATGATCAAGGCGAGGCGCATGCATAAATTGAGACAGAACATGAACGGAATAGGCGAGATCCGGACGCGTGATCGTGAGATAAATTAAGCGACCCACAAGTCGCCGATACTGCGCCGGGTCATGAAGCTCGGCACTAGTCGACCTACCCAGCCCGTGATTCGGCGTAATGGGTGTGTCGGCTGGTTTGCAGCCCGAGAGACCAGCTTCATGAAGAATGTCTAGTGCATATTTCCGTTGACATAGAACAATACCCTCCGCAGATCGAGCACACTCAATGCCCAAAAAATAAGATAAGGGTCCCAAGTCCTTCAGGTGAAAGCAGCGATCAAGATAAACCTTAAAAGAAGCACATAATGTGGGGTTGTTACCTACAACCAAGATGTCATCAACATAAACCAAGACAACCAAAATGTCAGATCCTCGTCGAAGAATAAAGAGAGTGTGATCTGCATGTGCCTGACGAAACCCGTATCGCCGAAGGGCACAAGTGAGCTTCCCGAACCAGTTTCGGGGGAACTGACGCAAACCATAAAGAGATTTGCGTAGTCGACAAACCTTGCCTGGATATAGCTGAGAAAGTCCAGGTGGCAGCCGCATGTATACTTCCTCAACCAGATCACCATGAAGAAAAGCATTATTAACATCGAGTTGGTGCACCTCCCACCCCTTTGCCGCGACTACAGAGAGTAAAACACAAACAGACCCCATTTTTTCTACCGGGGCAAAAGTATCAGTGTAATCCACCCCCAAAGTCTGATGATTTCCAAGAACAACCAAACGGGCCTTGTCCCGTTCTTTAGTGCCATCCGAATTAAACTTGGTCTTGAAGACCCATTGGCAGCCCAAAGCTGTCCGATCCGGGGGCAAGTCTGAGATTTCCCAAGTGTTGTTATTGACCAAAGCTCGGAGCTCCGTGTCCATTGCCGCA